ACAGCTAGATGCTGGCTGAGGTATTGTCCTCATCACTCATCCATGATTCAAAATTACGATGTCTGTCGCTAAAAGCCCGTGTAGCTTTTTAGAGCAACGTAAATATAACTTTCAAAAGTCCATTGGCGGAGTGGTACTGTACCGCGCTTCCACGCCACAGGCCAGGGGTTCAAATCCTGGGCTGGACAATGTCGACTCGGCCTTTCATCCCTTCAGTGGGTTGATAAATGAGTACCAAGCTTGCTTGGGAACTGAACACTGGGGGCTTTGCGTCAAACTGACCACTTAACCGAAACATCTGCTCATGCACCCCAGCGCTTAAGGTCACGTAAACTGAATTAGGCACAGTAGGCCTTGGCCTTTATGGGCTGTTGCGCCACTGAGCTCAGTTTCGTCCAACTTTTACTCACTCACGAGTTTTGTTACCAGTCGTTCTATCGTAAATGAGGCATATCATTTAGTACCGACTATACAAGAGATGGTTGTCATAACACACATCGCAATATTATCAATATGATTTTTTTAAAGATCATACTTATTCATTACTTTTTTCAATTCCTACTATTAGCTCGCACTGTCTATATATATTTATTTATCTTGGTGGAATTTTCAGTCGTTAATAAAATACATTTTAAAGCGCTGAATTGAGCTGAAATTTTATATACAGGATCATTTTGGATGACGATACAATAATTTAATTATAATTAATAAAAAATGAATTGATTAAAACTAATTATTTGAAGAATTACAAATACAGCCACGTTGGCGACTTAGCGACCCTTTTGGTGACTTGTGTCAAAACTTGAAAAGGTTTTTTTCTCACGTGTTAAGCATTCAGTTGGACTGAAATTAAAAGGACCATACGATACTTTAACGATAATTAAAAAAAAAACTGATGACCACTTAATGTTGTGATTCTGTCCTATGTATCTACATATTTATATTAGTTGTAACTATTTAATAAAAAGTAGCTAAAATAAAATTTTTCGTTGTTGATCTAAGTAGGAATTGACTTAAAAACTATTTTTTTTATATTACTTGTTTTTTTTTTCTCATAAGGTTTTAATCACGACCAACGTGTGCGCTCGAGGCATTGATATTGAACAGGTGACGATCGTGGTCAATTTCGACCTTCCAGTGACTGTTAAAAGGGAAGCCGACTGTGAAACGTACCTGCATCGGATTGGTCGCAGTGGACGATTTGGAAAACGCGGTATTGCCATCAACATGGTAGAAAGCGATTCAGATCTGCAAGTGCTGAAGACCATTGAGGAGCATTTTGGTAGGAAGATATTCAAACTCAATGCAGATGACGTTGATGCGCTGGAGGAATTGAATGCCTGATTTTTTTTCATTATTTGTATCTTGTGCAACATTTCGATACTTGTAGTTTCATTTTCTTGTTTTTTATGTGAAAGTATCAATATTATACTTGTAAATAATTTTTATTAATTTTTTTTTGTTTTGTTTTTGTTATCGTATCAAATAAAAATTATAAATAAAATGATTGATTTTTAACGTGTTATGAGTAGAATTTAATCATTGGTATTATTTTTCCTTGACTTTTGCTAGAATTTAAACAGTTTTAAATGAACCATTGAGGGAAAAAAAAAAAATCTGATGGATTTTTCTGCATTTTAAATTAACTAGGGTTCCCCCTAAATTCCTACTATAAGCTCACACTCTTTATACATTTATTTATCTTCGTGGAATTTTCAATCGTTAATAAAATACATTTTAAAGCGCTCCATTGAGCTGAAACTCTATATACATGATTATTTTGAATGACAGTACAGTAATTTAATTATAATTAATAAAAAATTGATTAAAACTAATTATTTAAAGAATTACAAATACAGCCACGTTGGCATCATTTTTGGCGACTTGTGTCAAAACTTGAAAAGTTTTTTTCTCACGTTTTAAAGCATTCTGAAATTTTATATACGCGATTGTTTTGGATGAGAATACGATACTTTAATGATAATTAATAAAAATTAATGACCTCTTAATGTTGTGATTTTGTCATATGTATATAAATATTTATATTAATTGTTACTATTTAATAAAAATTAGCTAAAATAAAATTCTTTGTTGATCTAAGTAGGAATTGAGACTTAATTTTTTTTCTTATATTACTTGTTTAAATATATATCATGTTCCAGAAGAAAACCACGCATTAAAAAAAAGATACGGTATGTCATGAAAAAATGATTTTGTTTCAAGATTAATATGTGGCCTAGTGGTTAAGGTCATGAACTCATCGCCGACGTCGTCGGCTCGAGTCTTAATGCCACTGAATGACCCGCCGGGAGAGGGCAGCTCAGGTGTCGTCCTCGTCACTTGACCATGGTTCAAAATTACGAGGTCAGTCGCCAAAAGCCCTTGTGTAGCTGAACAGTGTAACGTTAATATTCACTCACGCTATTTACGGTTAAAATTGAATTTCGAAGTTGTTGTTGAAAACGAAGACTGATTGCAATGATTTTGTTTGAACAGGGTTTGTGTGTGTGATTTATGTTAATATGAATCTTATAGAATGTATTTAATTTAATTGCGTATTATAATATCGCATTTTTTAGAAGTATACAAGAATGCTATTGTGTATGAGGGTGGGGGGGTGAAGGACTTCGTAATTTTGAACCACGATCACACAAGAGTAGCTAGGACGCCACTGAACTAGTACCCCACGCCACACCAACGCGAGGAGTTTGAACCTCGACAGTAATTGGAAATTTACAAAGAACAACTACAAAGAAGATGCACAAGTTGGAAAAATCGACATTGTGTATTACAGTTTAATTAAAATTTGTACATTGAGCTTTTGGGGAAGGGGGTATAATTCGGATTTTTTAAAATGCTAGGTCTTTCTTCAAGCTTCCTGCGTAGTTGCTTCGGAGGTTCCTGCTGTTGTTTCTTCGGAGGTTCCGGTAGTTGTTTCTTCGGAAGGTTTTTGTGTACTTGCTTCTGTTGTCACCATATCTGAAAGAGGTTAAAATAATACATGTTGGGGTTTTTTTAATGCAAAAGTTTGATTTTTTTTTATAATTGCCCGGTGTTCAGACATTAGAAATGAATGCATAAAATAAAATTTTAATTTCGACCAATGCATTTACAAGTTGGTATTATATTCCTACATGTAATGTTTTCTAATTGGTGCTCTTATACATACAGTGGAATGGAAATTGAATTAATGCTTTACTTCTAATATTTTAATAGTTAGTGGTTGTTAGATTTAAGATAACCGACTACGTTCGGAACCGTGCTTTTAAAAAAGCGCATAAATAGATAATTTTCATAATATTTAGTACCACTTAGATTAGAGAATACATGTATAAAATTGTTTTATGGACATTTTGACAAAAAAAAATGTTTAAATGCAATATTTTGGCAAAAAAGTAACTTAGAAGAACCTTTTTTCTGAATGTTCTCCTTTTATAAAAAATGCTTCTAAAATAATTTTGGGGGTTATAAAAGTTATGAGACTTCTCAAAAAGAGTCCCAAACTATTTTTTTGAAAAATTCTCATTATTTTCAGAGTTATAATCAACTGAAATAATTATCGGCGTTTTTCTTTTCCCCCCTCTGTTGTCGTAAAACATGGTAAACCCCTTCATTTATATATTTAAAAAAAATTTTAGTTGACCTCTGTGACAGAGGTTAGAATATACAAGAAAATATTTTCAATCGAAGCATTTTTTTTAAAAAGAACATTTTGAAAATGGGTCATTCTATGTTCATTTTTTGTCAAAATATTGTACTTAAATAATTTTTTATTGTAATAATACTCTTAAAACAATTTTATATATATTTTCTAATCTAAGTGACACTAAATATCATAAGTATTATCCAGTTATAGGCTTTTGCAAAATCATGGTTCCGCGAACGTAGTCGGATACCTTAAATAATAGATGAATTTTTCAAGAAACCTTGTTTTTAGGAAACATTTATAGAACTCAGTGCGGACTGAAATGGTGAGAATCGATCTACCGTTAAGTCCCGAGGACGACAGCTCAGAGCTGGCATTTCTTTTTTTTTCATACTACATAAAAGAACTTTAAGGCTTAATTTTTGATAAGTCTGTATTTAGCCCACACAATTCTGATTGCCGCTAGTCTTCAAGCTCGCGTCCATGATTGGTAGGAATCCATGACTAACCCTCCGTTAGGCGCCCAAATCTCTCAAATGCGTAATAAAAATAGTTTTGGAGCTACGTCCGCACGGTGGGCTGGAGTGTGCCCCTCTTTCTTCTATCTGCCTCTTTCATCACTTATTACCCTAGGACTCAGTGCCAAGTTAGAGGGTGATTTCTTCATATGTCGGTTGGCAGTGGCCATTGAATCTTGTAGTTTTCAGTTTTACACGAAAATAGTTCGAAACGGGTATTTTTTATCCTTTGTATGTGTGTGTGATAAGGTTTTTGAAGTTATACTTCTTTTGGGGCGTTAGAGAAATAGCATGGGTAGAATTTCACAATGCGCGCACACTGTCACGAAGGTGCGAAAATCCTTTGTCTAGAAATATACAGAACGGGACATAAATCATTCCCGCCTTCAGAAATTCTCAGAAAATATTTCTTCAGCACTTCCCTGAAGAAGGGGACACCTGTTTTTGAACCGGAGACCTCTCGACCTGCAGCTGAATGCTCTAACACTGAGAGTTGTACACCCGCGTCAGTGAACCTTTGCTTTGTGTTCTGTAGGAACGGATACAAAAATGCTTTGTCTAGAAATATGCAGAACGGGACAAATCATTCTCGCCTTCGAAATTCTCAGAAAAATATTTCTCTTCACTTCCCTGAAGAAGGGGACACCCGGGTTTGAACCGGAGACCTCTCGATCTGCAGCCGAATGCTCTACCACTGAGCTGTACACCCGCGTCAGTGAACCTTTGCTTTGTGTTCTGTAGGAACGTATACGAAAATGCTTTGTCTAGAAATATACAGAATGGGACAGATCATTCCCGCCTTCAAAATCCTCCAAAAAGAATTTCTCTTCACTTCTCTGAAGAAGAGTCCCGGGAACCACTCGATCTGCAGTCGAATGCTCTACCACTGAGCTATACCCCGCGTCAGCGAACCTTCGCCCCAACTTTCCGTAGGAACGGATACAAAAATGCTTTGTCTAGAAATATGCAGAACGGGAAGGATCATTCCCACCTTCGACCCCCTCTATTGGTCCTATTGTCCCTGTGCGGGGGTGTTTAAATTTATTTAAATCGTGATTATCTCAGGTTTGGCTGGTCCGATTGATTGAAGGTTAGTATCGTTCAACTCTGTTTGTGACTGCCTTTCGTCCTTGGCCCAGCTTGCCCTGCAAAAGATTTTTAGAAAGATTTTAATCTTGTTACGCCAAAGAAGTATAACTTCTTAAGTGCGTATATAAGTACACAAATACTTTTTTTTTTGCTGGGAGTGGAGATGCATCTGATAGATGCCGCGTGCCTACCAATGACTCTATTTTATTCAATCTTCAATGTAGGATTGAATAAAATTGGAATAAACTCCCAAGGTGTGGGAACAAGAATCACTCAGATCTTCGCTCACTTATCTTGGAAAAATAGGTAACGAACTTTTGAAAGAGCACCTGCGAAGCCGTTCAGAGTGTAACATTAAAACGACTCGTATAATTTGACTTAGGATTGAAGAAATATCTGATATGCAACACTCCATTCAGGACGAAAAACCTAGTGAAAAGCATCACCAGGAACTTGAAAGAGAAGGTAGGCCGTGGGTGGCCTAGTGGTTAGAGCTCCGGACCGGAAGGCTTGGGTTCGATGCCCATTACCGCCAAATACCCTCCGAGGTACACGCGGGCACGTGCTCGTTAAATCAGTGGGTCGAAGTCTTGTGGGCTGAATCACGAGTGCGGAAACTGGAGAAAATTTCCTCAATTCAGTTTCATGCCTAAATTGTGGAGATAGGATTGGTGTCGCCATCTATCGTTCCTTCGAGGCCCTACTCCGAGCTAAATCGTACTGTCACCTGTATGGTGCTCAAGGCTAAAGCCAACGACAGGCGTACTTCTAGTTCATTGCCACGATGAATTTCGTGGGCTTCGATCTGACTATGTCAGGCAGGTGGCATGGGCAACAACAACAAAGAGAAGGTACTGTTCCCTCACATCAGGACGCCAAGAAAAGATTATTAAAAAAATTTTTACGTATTATACGAAAAATCCATGTGCCTTGATTTGTGAAGACTGCAACAAGGCATCTTAAAATGCAAGTATTGGTGACACGGCTATGAATAACCATTATCTTTTTGATGTTTTTTCGTATAAAGTTTTTTAATTTCTGATTGTATTTTAAATATTATTTTATGTCAAATATATTCTAATGTTATATCTCACCAATAAAAAAATTAAATCATCTTCAAACATAAGGATGAGAGATGCCGTGCGCCTATGGATGGAACTTCTTGAAGTGCGCCTAGTGGAGGGCTAAATTTAGTTTAAACAACGATTTCAAAAATATGAAACAATAGAATTTCACGCCTTGCTTTTTTAATTCTCGCCAATCCTGGGATCTGATATTTCATTTTTTCAGATAGATATCTATTCATCCTCGCTTAGCTCAGTGTACATTATTTTCAAACGATTACAATATTTTCATTGTTTCATCATTATCTTTCTAGCAGATTATGAAGGTCGAATCAAAATTTAAGATGCTTAAAAATATTAAAAGAAATCAAGTACTCACGAATTTTCAATAAATAAAAAAAATCACTAAAATAAATTATTTTAAGAATTAAGTATTGTTATAAAATTATGGACAATGGATATTTAAAATCAAAACAATAATCGAACTAAAAATACTTGGAAAACAAATTAATTAGTATTTTAGCTTTTTCATGGAATTCAAAATGACCGGCTGTTTGGGGACCTTGATTGCAAATTTAAAATTCATTTTAACGGTGGCAAAAACTCTGTTGTTTGTTAAATATGTATATAGTTCTGATTTTAATTTTATTTAAATATATATGTGAAGTGGACGGCGCTACTGCAAGCCCCCTTGCATCCCCCTCCCAGGTGGCTTCGAAAGGAAATAAGGGGGCAATGACTCGGACGGAAGAGGTAGCAAGAGAAGGGATTGAGAATGCAAGAGAGGCAGAGCAGTAGCCACTCTTAAAAAATAATGAAAGCCAATTAGGCAAGGACGAGCGTTTAAAGGTTTCACTACATTCATTAATTGTTATTCTTTATTTTATTTATTCTTGTTTTAAAAATAAACAATTATTCTGTCAAAACAGTTTACGAATTCATCCCAGTAACAACATAACACACACACATATATATGTATATATATATATGTTTCCTACACTCCTCACTTAACTGTAACTGAGTGCGCCATACTTTCCCGCCTTCCTACCATCAACTGAAACTTTTGAACCCCATACCAGGACAATTCTGTAAACAGAAAGCGCAACGGACAGACGCAAGTTCTTTGTGTGTGTGTCCGCAGCACCTTCAAAGGAGTAATTTTCATTTAAGGTATCCGACTACGTTCGGAACCGTGATTTTAAAAAAGCGCATAAATGGATAATTGTCATGATATTTAGTGTCACTTAGGTTAGAATACATGTCTAAAATTGTTTTATATAAGGACATTTTGACAAAAAAAATTATTTAAATACAATATTTCGGCAAAAAATTAACTTAGAACAATCTTTTTTCCAAATGTTCTCCTATTGTGAAAAATGCTTCTATTATAATAATATTTTGCCTGTATATAGCTCAGACCTCTGAACAGAGGCTCAACTAGAATTTTTGAAATATATTACTTAGAAGTGGGTTTATCCATATTTTACGACAGCAGAGGGAAGCAATTGTATAAGAAAAAGCATATGTTATTTAAATTGGTGGTAACTCTGCAAATAATGTGAATGTTTCAAAATTCTAGTTGAGAACTATGAAAAAGATCTGAGCCTCTCTGAGCAAAATATTATTACTATAATAAACATTTTCTAAAACATTTGGAAAAAGAACATTAAGTTAATTTTTACTTAAACTCAACTAGCCATTTAAACTATAATTTTTGTCCAAAATAATGTCAAATCACAAAACCGACATACATGTATTCTGTCTAAGTGACACTAAATATCATGACAATTATCCATTTATACGCTTTTAAATCACGGTCAGGCTGTCAGTCGAAACCTATAACAACTGTTCTACTTTTTAAGTGTAAACTTTAACTGTAAATATACTTATTTTCTTACCAGTATATATAACATATGTACTATCTTCTCCATCTCTAGCTGTCATTCGAATTCAACCAACGGCACCAATATATATATATATATATATATATATATATAACTATATATACATATATATAAATATATATATATATAAATATATATATATAATATGCAACTCTTATTAATTTTTATTTCCATTCTTTTATACTTTTTGTTAAGTGTTTACATTTCAGCCCTTTACTTGATTTAAATCTGTATTAGGGTATAGGATCTGGCAATAACTTATTTATTGCACTCAGATTTAGCGCGGGCTTTGCATTTGTAAGTGCAATTTTTAGGTAAGTTACCTCTATCTTATAATGGATTTAGATATTCCTATCCATTATTTCCTATTGGTTTTTGCTCAGTGTTATTTACAAAAAAAGGGGGAAAGTTGGCTGGCCAAAAAACATGTTCAACCCCACTTTTACATAAATTATTTTATATAATAGCTGTCCTAAGTCAGTAATGTTTATAACACTGCAGCATCCATTTTATAATTTTTAATCTCGATTACTCATATGTCCTTCATTGTGCGATTTTCCTACTGTCTATGTGTTTTTCGAATGTTATTGTTTGGATGTTATCTCTTGTTTGTAGAGAATTAGCCTATATATATATATCATTTCTATACTCGGAGCTTTCAATGAAAAACAAATTCTGACGTAGACAGTTACTAAACACTAATGAGGATTAATCTGGTCCCCATGTCAATGAAATAAATTCATATCCAAAATTAAGGTGATCAACATAAAGTCTGTGAAAACCTATAAACTATTCACTGTGTTGCCACGAACTTTAGTACCTCATCCTTATAGCGCTGTGCGTTGACAATACTCGCATAGAAGACATGCATTTTGTACAACTGTCCAACATTATGCCGCCCCAGACAAGGATTCCTGATACATAGGGGGAGAAAGGCGAGGTCCATTTACTTCCCAAATGAAGACTCGACGAGAATCATTCTGTCTGGTGAATCTCGACTCGTCGCTGAAAAGAACACGCCCCGGTTATTGTGGTATCCACGATTGATCCTTCCGGCTGCCGATGTTTCCTATTGTATGTAAACAAAGGAACACACACTACGAAACGCCAGGCGTAAAGTGCATACATGCATAAAATTGTTTTAAGGACATTTTGACAAAAAAAAATTATTTAAATACAATATTTTGGCAAGAAATGAACTTAGAATAATCTTTTTTCAAAATGTTCTCCTTTTGTGTAAAATGCTTCTATTATAATAATCTTTTGCCTGTATATAGCTCAAACCTCTCTACAGAGGCTCAAATAGAATTTTTGAAAAATTCACATTATTTTCAGAGTTACCACCAATTTAAATAATTATTGGCGTTTTTTCTTAAAATTGCTCCCCTCTGTTGTCGTAAAATATGAATAAACCTGCTTCTAAGTTATATATTTAAAAAATTCTAGTTGAGCCTCTGTAGAGAGGTCAGCTATAGACAGGCAAAATATTATTATAATAGAAGCATTTTTCACAAAAGGAGAACATTTTGAAAAAAAGATTATTCCAAGTTCATTTTTTGCCAAAATATTGTATTTAAATAAATTTTTTGTCA